GGGGAGCGGGGAGGGAGGGGAAAAATGAGGACCTGATGCCAGGGGCTTAAGTGGAGGGCAAATGTTTTGAGAATGATCAGGGCAATGAGTGTACAAATGTGCTTTACACAATTGATGTATGTATGAGTTTTGATAAGAGTTGTATGAGCCCTAATAAAATGATTAAAAAAATAAAGAAAGACAGGCCGGGTGATCTGCTTCCCACGAAGATCCCAGCCTTGGGCACTCTCTGGGGCACAGTTGTACTTATACAAGCAGGGTGGCTAAGCTTCACCACCAACTGAATGCCACTCACAGCAGCAGCAGCGTGGCGAGTGACGCCGACATGGCCACATCAACAAGCTCCACCTTGCTGTCCCTTCTTCCCTAGACAGGCCGAAAATGAGAAGTACCTGACCTTGCACAAAGACGCTTCTCTTTGGATCCCTTCAGACAGAAATTGTGGTCAAAACCGTTGATGCGGAACTCCTGCAGGTGTTTTCCCAGCTCCACTGGCTTCCTCAGGTCAAATGCAGTTCCTTGCACTGGAGCAATTTCTCCTGGTGGGACAAGGCAGGAAAACGTGTTGAGGAATACCCAAGTCAAATGTTTACACATGAAGTTGCCGGTTCAAACCCTCCAACTTCCCCTCGAGAGAAAGACGAGGCTCTCTGTCTTGGAAACCCTATTGGATGGGGTTGCTATGAGTTGGTACTGACCCAGTGGCAAGGGTTCTACCCTCTGGCTTTCATTTCAATTTATGAAGGAGGTGAGAGCCCAGAAGGAGAATGGATTATTGTGTTTCTTTCCTTATAAGGCACTACCAATCGCAAGATATAAGATGGATCCTAATTCAAGAATCATTCAAGTTCGAAGAGGTACAAACACTGAGGAAACCATCTCCCTTCAGGGCGAACTTGGATAAAGGATGATGGCTATCTTTACCATCCTACCATAGGCACACACAGCAGACATCCACCTGGTGGAGATTTCCTGTTGTAGAACTACAACATCCCAGGGCTTAGCACTAAGC